AGGTCAGGGTCAGAGGTCAGCCAGACCTATGTTGAAAGCCAAGAAGCTTGATTTCAAAGCAGCACAGGAGTGTAGCATGTTAAGGCTGTTTCCTGCCCTCAGATAGCCCCCTCACATTCCTGATGCAAGCCAGTCACACTGAAGCATGGTCCACACAATATGCTCCAGCAGATTCTCATCATCTGTTCAAATACAAGAATGCATTATAAAGCCATAGGCTACAGTCTGAACATGCGGGGGCTGCATGGCTCCATGTGCACGTGTAACTTTGGATTTCATATACATTTAAGACCGTGCGCCAGTTTTTCTTTTTAAATAAATTTGAGCAAAATTAGTGCTCTGGCCTCTGAAAGTTGTGAAAGGAGATTACAAACTTATAACGGTTAATAGTTGGGATGTTCTGAATTCATAAGATAAGAAATAACAACAAAATGCTTGAAAGGAACTAGTTAGGTTTTCATGTTTTTAAGACAGTAAAATAAGGTACAGTGCAGAGACATTAAATGGCACCAAAATTGTTTTCTTATTTGAAAAGGAAACATAGCAACATGCTTGTCCTAAAATTTCCCTCTATATCAAACCAAGTGTCAACTCCACTAAGAATGTCTGAGACTATACTGCCCTCTGGTGGACTTTAGTAGGAATCTCAGGGGGAATCCAAAGGAGAAAAGTTGAGGTACCAAGAGCTGTCATATCGTCATTGACTATGCACTTCATTATATATTATATAATATATTATCATTAAATATATATTACATTGGATTATGGACATTTGGATAACCAACTTCAGAATATCAATAAGCAAAAGTCCTATATTGATCTCTTCGCCCACAATATAAATTAAAATAATTAGATTGGTTAAATGTCTATGTAAGTAACTGAGTCTTCAAAACGAAATGGTAAATTAAGTGTAATTTGTATTAAAAGAAATAATAAATAACAACGCACTACGATATGTTCTGTCAGAAAAGGATCATCTAAACAGACTGTATCCTTTAGGACATTTGACGCCCACACTGTACATGAAGAGCAGACTAAAACATACATAACATTACATAACTGTAAGTTCATTTTACAGCGTGGTTCTACCGTGACCTCTAGTGGTTATGACAAAATACAACCACTAGAGGTCAATGTTTTTCTATACACTATTATACATCACTGTCAGTTATTATTAGAATTTTTTGTTGATATAGGACTTCAAATTGAGATGTTCTTATGTCCTCTAAACCTCTTCAGTAAAAGTTAAGGTTGATCATTGAATAGTTTATATTTATAATGGAACAATAAAGAACTTGTCATGGATCATGTAATACCTACAGACTGTTTTATCTCTGTCTATGATTTGGAAATGTATCGTGTTATGTTGCTTATAAAGAGAATATAGTGTGAACATAAAAGATCTACAGGGAAATGCTTTGACTCTGTGTGACGAAAGCTCTTAGGGGAATTCTGTAGCACCAGTGTGTAGTGTCAGCAGCTGATAGATACATCAAAGACCACGCAGTCATGCACAACTTACTGTATGTACTGCCAGGAAAAGATGTTCTTAAACGAGGTTCTGCTCCACTGAGCTCAACAATATGGTCAAAACAAGTTAGCACTGTTTTCACATAAAGACAAATGTTGTACACAAAGTTAATTGGCTACATAACAGTGTTACGTTAGCACAGTACAGGACATCTGGAAGAGTTCATTTGCAAAAACAGATAAGTGCCATTTGAAAAAAAGTAATCTGAGGCTTGTAGTTTACTCTTAGTAGTGATATTTTCAAAAGCCAAATCTATTTTCAAAATATTATTTCATCCCTTCCTGATAAAATTCACTTTATATTATTGCCCCTGCTAATATTTTAAGAACATGGTTAAAAAAATAAATAAATTAATTAATTAATTAATTAAAAAAATATAATAATAATAATAACAATAATAATAATAATAATAATAATAATAATAATAATAATCATAATAATAATAATAACAATATTTCCTAAGCCACCCATGGCACTCGGGCCTAATAAATTGAGATATCAGTTTTTGCTACTGAATATTTGAATTGGAGTCACAAATGCAGCATTCTAAGTTCCACAGCATTTGAGTTAAAAGCATTAATAGATGTAAATGGGAAAGATAACTGAACTATATATATATTTCAATTAGTTTGATTCAAAAATATCTTATTTATAATTATTTTACCCACATGTTCCAAAAATCTAATATATGCACTGAAACTGTATCTTTAATGGACAATTATTTCACCCTGTCATTTAGGGTGGTCACAAGTACTGTATTTAAAATTACAGCTCTTCACGTAATCTCAACATTTCAAAAATAATGTCACAAATCTCCACAAAAGCTTCCAGATCTGTGAACTTTAAAAAAAAAAAAAAAACATTTATTATCAAGAGGTTAAACCGAACCAAATGAACTTACTTTTAAAGCTTTGACGAAGCAGTCTGGATGGGAGTCAAACGTCTTCTTTAAAAGTGCATCAAGTTGGTTTAGTTTTACTCTTTGATAATCTCTTATTCCTGGATGTTTCAAAATTTGCATGAATGTATTACAACATTATAATATAAAAGTGTTGCTAGAATATGTGCAACAATCCAAAGAAGAGTTTAGGTTTTCACCTCTTTTTACTTTGTTGTGTCATATAGTTTCACAAGTTTCACAGAAATGATTCTTCCATGACATTACAATGTTAGACACATCCCCCCACCCTTGTGCTAAAATGAACAACTTATGAATACCAAATAAGAACATACAGTATGTAAATATAAACTTTAGAAAAATCTATTAAAATATATATATGGAGTACCAACTAATTGAAACTTCTTTTAATAAGTTTCAGTTGTTTGTTGTTTTGTTATTATTATTTCATTTATTTATAATTTATGTATTTTTTCCCGTTAATGTAATATTCATATTTGAAACATAACGTGGTTTTTACTATACTGTCTCTTACGCTTTTGACTATATGCCTTATATTATATATATATATATATATATATATATATATATATATATATATATATATATATATATATATATATATATATATATATATATATATGTGTGTGTGTGTGTTATAACTATATATGCAGTGTTATATTATAACTATATATAACACTGCATTATTGTTTCCAATTACATTTTTCACATTTCTTAGTTGATTTTAAGTTTGCCATACATTTAGGTTAAAGAAACCCCATTTCTTCTTAAATTCTCCTTCTTTATAGTGAATCTTATGGGACAATCTCTCCATCTGTTGTATCTCTTATATGCAGTCTATCTTTTTTTCAGGTTAAGAACTTAAACTGTCAAATTTCTGGTCATCTGATTTTAAGCTGTCACTCTGAAGATCCAAAAAAACATTGATCTCTTCTCTTCATTTGTCTGTTTGGGCTCTTTCTAGGTAATATCCAAACTACATCTTTATGTATATTTTGATAAAATTTTATTGAATGCATCAAAAACCCTTCCAAGAGAGAGTATTTTATCTTTTAGAATCACCTATGCACGGGCTTTAACATGCCCACGTTAACTACAGGAAGTGATGACATCATGCGTTGGTTACCATGAAAACAAACACAGATCATCTGGTGTGTTACGCTCTCGAGATTACAATCAAGCATGTCAGTTTCACATTCAGGAGAAAGTGGTTCAAATATCTGCAGTAATAATGAAGAGGCGTGGGATTTCAAATTATCTCTTTTCACTGTGATTGACAAAACAGTCAGTTTCTCTTCAGAAGGGTTAAATCAATCATTTTTCACAGTGTACAACAAACTAAATATTTGTCTAAATAAGAGTAAAAAACGATCTGACAATACTTTTCATGGAAATCCATCTCAAACATTGTCAAGGTCCGATGTGGCCGGTCACTTGGACTGGCACCTCTTTGTCTTATTTTGACAGAGTAATTGTGGTATCAACTTCTGTAGATCAGAAACTCAATCAGCTTTATATCAAAATGGACAAAATCTCATAAACACATTTTTTGCAGAGGAGGGTAGTCTTTTGTTGTCTTATTTGAGTAAAAGTTTGGTTCACTCTGGCTAAAATGATATGTCATCATAAGAAACTGATCTTTTAACCAGAATTAAACTTAAAATTACAGAGAAAAACAATTACAAAGCTGCCCTCCCACTTTTCTGCCAAAGTTCAGGTCACGCTCAAGGCAGGAAGCCCCCCTCCCTGCATCAGCTCCTCCCTCCTCTGCAGAGAGGGTGGGCGTACAGACTGAAGGAACAGCCAGATGTTGATGTTCCACAGAAACATACCCACATCCGCTCCAAGTCAAGAGCGTTTCGGGCCTAAGAGAGGCTGTTCCACTTTACATCGTCACAGATGCACACATACAGTACATTTACAGTTTTAGACAGTACTACGAGAAAAACACCAAGATTAGGCAAAAACTGTGTTTAAAGTATGACATCAATCAAAACCAAGGGAAACAAATGCACACTACTGCATCATGGCAAAAACAGGAACTATCAACATTCACGCTAATGGCAGAATGTAACACAAAGAACACAAACAAATTCAAGCCTAAATCAGCGTCATTTATACAAAATACCAATCCAAATGAACATCTGAATAATTACTATAGCCACAATTTACTTCTGAATATGAGCAACAAATGATCCAATATTATAACTTGTATTCCATTGTCTGCCTTCTGAGTGGTAGTACCGTGAGTCTCGGTTAATATGAAGACATTATTATTGAAGAATCAATTTAATACTATTACTTTCATATTCATATTGATTCATATTGATCAAAACATCTTATACATCATTTGATCCCATTTGGCAACATCATTTCATGTCATTTGACAAAAGATTAATTTGGCAGAAAATATAGACAACATTTCCACATTATTAACCTATTATGAAATAAAAGTAAAAAATCCAGAGGCCTAAACAAATTCATAGTTGTTAATTTTTCAAAACAGTGCGGTCTTAAAAATGAATCAAATTAGCGTACTCGAGTACTCACGTAAGCAAGAAGTGAAATGTAGCGTGACAAAATGTAAGTTGACTGTAGGTAATTCTAAGCTGCTCTAAAAAGTACAATAACAGTCTTTTCTCAGGTAACTCCATAAACCTGGGATCAGTGTAGGGTTAAATGCAGCCTAAACTCTTTTATAAACATACAAATCCGAGAATACACGCCCACAACATCAATGACATTCACCAAAAACGCAAGCTCTTGTCAGTGTTCACAACAGAAAAAAAAGAAAAAAAAAAAAAAAAAAAAAAAGAAAAAGAGCAAACGCAGCTAACGGTCTAGTGCATATGAGCTTGACTTTTCAACATGCATCACTTTTTAATGCAACACCATTTTATGAGTAACGCTGGAGCAACAAAAGCGCCAAAACCTCTGCCAAAGCCCAGCTCGTTCCGATACATGACAGCTGTTTGAGACACTCCACTGTTTTGAGTCACGAGAGCGCATAACTCGACGTCCACTCCACTCTCTTACGCACATAAACCGTGCGCCCAGACACTGAGATAACATACCAGCGGGACAAACAGAGTCGTTACGCACCCTTTTTCGAAGAAAGTCACGCTCTGCAGACGGAGATTTTTGCTTTAGATGCCACTAAGAAAGCCTCAAACAACGTGTAGAAGTTGTTTACAACGTTTCATAGTAATTTCCGATTGGTCTGAGTAAGTTTTCGTCAACGCCCCAAAACCTCGGTCAATGGGCGGAGACTGCGCGTTCCTGCTGCTGTCCAGGCGGTGTAGCAGCTCCGAGAAGGTTAAGCTACTGAAGACTTCTGCGGTTGACTGAGGTTTCGGTTAATCGTGAGCACATTAATGACTGTGACAATTCATAGCCTCATTAAAAATAGGCTGAGATCGGTTTGCTCTGTTCAAAGAGGGCGTCGCTACAATCGCATTAAGCAGGGCCAAAAATCACGCAGTATTGTAAAGATTTGGGTCCAGTAAATGCGCATAGGTTAAAACAGTTTTATAAGGTATTAGTTTTATTAGCTCTGCATTCTTATGGTGGTTTAAATGCTGCATTGTGTAACTTTTCTGGTGGAGGGTCCGTCAAATGCTTTTCTCCATAACGATGTTCTTACTCTGTCTGTAATATTTCACAGTGCAGTATGAAATGAAGACTGAAGCCAAGCAAGTTACAGGTCAGATCTGAATTTGGAATGACCACTTTTCTAGATATTTTTGAGCTATAAAACCACCTGTAATTTAATAAATGTAGGAAAAGCTGTGGAACTTTATAGGAGTATTGACATACCCACTGAAAGAAGCAGGTGATAGACCCTCAGCCAAAAAGTTACACTGTGCACCTTTAACACCAATATTTTATAGGATATGTTTTTAATATGTAACCTGTATCTGGTGTGTTACATGATACAGGACAGTAAACTGGTTTTATTTTAAGATAAAGTGACAATGGCAAAGTAGAAATTCAATTTGCCAGCTGAACAAACATTTATTTAGGTTAAGAACGTTTTGCAGCTCAGCCAAGCTGCTGCTTCAGTTCTGGTCAGACGCTGGTAGACACTGTACATCATGTAGCTGTACACTGATGCAAGAAAAGTTGCAGATAATGAAAAAATGTATAGGCAATAGCTTAAGTGACCACAAACAAAGCAGAAAGTCTTAACCTTATCTCACCAGTGTCCGTGTGGACATTCAGTTGTACAATCTCATTTGTTAGGAGGTAATTATGGCTTCAATTGATTTAAGCTCTTTCCAAGAATCTAATGGGCTCTTATCTGTTAATATAGCCATCGCTGTACAGAATACAAATGTCCATTAGGCTACTTCTGCTAATAACAGACACACTAGGATACTTGATCTTAAAAGTGACTCATCCATTAGAAAAGCTTGTGGTGAGGTGAGTATTCAGGCTGAGTTGAACCATTACACTGAGCAGATAAAAAAGTGAATTTAACACCAAAAAAGAACTTCCCAACTCCCCACCACATGTAGGAAAAGGAATACAGAAGATTTCACTGAAAGGCTAAGTATAATAATAAACATATTTTTAGTCCATATTAAGTCAGTAATCACATCAAGTGGCGTAATTATTCAAATGTCTAAATATGGGAAAAACACATGCATCAGGCTAAAGGTCATATGACTACATTTCATGACTCTGCTGCTTGTTACATGCTATTTCATAGGCAAATACCATTGATTAAAAACTAAAAAAATAAATAAAAAATATCAAGACAGCTATAGTCAATTAAAATGAGTTGAAAGAAAAGAATGGTGTGACAGCTGCGCAGGACCCCAGTACAATGTACATCTCCATCTCAAAGTGAGCCAAAGAAAAGAAATGGTTTGAAAGGAAAGTTAAAGAGGTTATTTTTGTCTTTGAACAGAAATCATCTGCCTCCTATTTATAACTCCTCTAACATCCTCAGACCTAAATCAAAACAAAGAAAATAATAATAAGAGCCAGTATGCTATAAGGCATGAGAGCACCCACCACGGGCCTAAATGATTATGCTAAATATGACTCAGGCATAGGTCACATTAGTGCAGATCAAAAAAACCACACTAAGAAACAGAAACTGTAAACAAGTAGGTGCGTTAGTTTCAGTGTAGTTTCAGAGCCGTTAGCTCCTCCTTCTGACAAATATAAGGCAGCATCTGACTAGAACTGAAGAAGCTGCTTGGATGAGCTGCAAATCGTCTCTCAAAAAACTTTGTCCAGTTGACAGAATTTTATATTTCTTTTGACATTTTCTGACAGGTAAGTCTTATTTAAGATATTGCTGAATATACTAAAGTAGCCCGGCAGAAAGCATGTTGCCTGGAAAGTGTCATAAATTCCTTTTTAACTTTCCATATTTACTGCATGAAATACTCACAGTGAATACACATGTCAGTTTAGAGAACAACACAAAGAGCCTTTCCACATTGAGATTGGTCTCAATCACGCAGGAGAATAGTGGTGCACAATTTCATCATGGCGGCTCTCTGCAGGACTCGCCTCCACACAGAGAGGTAAGAGAAACATGACAGCAATCACAGCTTTAGATTGTAGCCCACAAAGGTCCGAATAGCCCCTCTGGTGAGTCTCCGAATGGAACAGTGGACCTGGATTACAGTGTCTTTAATTGACAGACAGCTTGGCCAGGCCCCCTCCAGAGACTCAGAACATTACGTAGCCTCTACTCAGAACTATATCTAGTCACGAGGCGCAGTTGGGCTTCTATTCATGCATGATGCCCAAAGTGCATGTGAGTTCTTAGCTTTATGTCAGAGGTTTGCAAAAGGACGAAATACATCCATCCACTCCTGAACACAAGGAACCAGCAGTAGGTTAGCGATTTGCTTGGGCTGACCCAGGTTCAGCTCAATAATGGAGTACTATACTGTACATACACAGCTCATATAAAATATACTGTGCAGAGTGCAGGGGGCTTTTGTTATATCCATAGAACAAAGGAATTGATTGTTATTTTGTAAACTGCATTTTCCCCCTAACAAGTTTGAAACCAGTGTAATCACCAGCAATGTTAAATATATTTGCTATTCTACACCATGGGCTGTAAAAAATAAAATGTTAAAGGGAGAAAAACCTAATGCTTAACCTTAACCTTAACTTTATTAATATCAAAATATTGTTTGTGTGTCTTTTTTTCAGTGCATCATTATCTACTCAGACTATGCTGCAAGCATAGCTATTTTAATCTAATTAGTATATTTGAGAATAGAAAGTGTTTGTTTTCTCTGCACAGCGCAGTCGACTGAGAGAAGTGATTGCTTAATTAATGCTCATAGCTTTATCTTTGGCTTTAACTTGTGCAGGATGCTGCTGCTTTTGTGTGCTTGTCTCATTATGGCTGTGTAACCCACCTCTCTCCTGAGGACTGGACCACCACACACATGTAATTAATTTAAACTGAAAGAAAAAAGGAGAAAAAACAGATCATTTTTTCTAGGTCTTTCTAGCAATGCCAGTCTATCCATGGGACTGGATAGACTGGGACTCTCTCTCTGTGGTTCTCCTCTGGTTTCTCAATATAACCATGATTTGCTTTTTCCTTTGTATGGTCATTCTGTTTGTCTTTTTTCACTGACAATGACAGTTTCATTGATTTATTTTCTTTTTTTTTTCTCTGTTGGTTAAATCAACAGTTTTGTGAAGCCCTGTACAGTTTTGACTATACAAAAATACAGTGAACTGAATTAAATTTAGACGTAGGACATGAAGCAGATGTGAATATCCATATTGTCTCCACATTCATGATGCTGCTGTACTTGTTTCAGATGTAAAACGTGACACATGCATTTGTTTCAGATTCATACTCTAACTCAAGAAATAAAAAAAACAGGCAATCCTTTAATGGCAGAAAGGTCTTTATCTGTTTGCTCATTTTGGAGTTGTTAGGAACCACTGGCATGTTAATTAGCATCGTGCTAAGTGCCTAATCCCCATATAAGTCATTAGAGTGTGGAACAACAGTGGTGCTCAGATTGTTAGTAATTAAGAATAATCCCTGACACAGGCAGAGACTTCAGAGAACATCCTCTCTCAAAACAACTGCCTCTCCAAAGCTTCAACAAGCACCATCAAATATGGCATCTCCAGTGTGCAGGGGCTACAGGGGCTAATGGCAAAGTGATCACAGTATGTTTTACTTCATTATACTTTTAGACAATTCTTCACTTACAACACCGCAGGCATCTTTAAACATGCCTGTGTGGATTCCAGCCATCTGTGAGCAGGTGTCTTTATATTGTTTTGAAGAGGGAAAAAAAAAATTCTCTTAAACCCATTTTATTTATTTTTAATAAAGATGTAAATTTCTGTAGAGCTGATGCATCAACTTCACCAAAAGGGCTTTAGCTTTCTATAGTGTTTATACATACTTAATTTAAAGAAAACACCAATTTAAAAGTAAAATCATGTAAAATAACCAAAAATACCCAGGACCTTTTAAATGTAATGCAGCATCCACATTAATTCAGTGCACATGTTCATAATTGAAAGACAAAGCTTTGCTGTTAGTAGAAAGTATCACAAGGGGGAGCAAGAGCACATTATATTTAATATAAGTCATATGCACGGTACAAATAAAAACACAAGTAAAATGTGTAGTGTTATTTAAAAAAATAATCATAAAAAATACATTGTATATCTGTAATGATTGTCTGGTAATGTTTCAGAGTAATGGTATGAGCTGATGCATTTGTTGAGCATGTATTATATTCATTTATTACTGTATCATCTCATTAGATATT